GCGTTTCTTCAACACATTTATTCCTGAAATGATCCTCAGACAAATTTTGTGCTGGAACTTTGATATAGTTCCAATCTTCTCATGTATAAAGCAAAAAAAAGTTAATTGTGGAGGGGAAAATGATGACCTTTGAGAAACTCTATTATTTTACTAATCTTCAACCTCAACTATTTCTCGAGTTATTATCGCTAACCAGTTTACGAGACGGCGCTAAAAATCCCGAGGGAAGAGGTGGGCGTGGATTGTTGGAGGGCTCCCTGTGCAAAAGTGGGAATAACGTCATTCAAGTAATAGAAGGGCTGTCATTTAAACCGGTTCACCAGCCCTGGAATCACGTTACCCTCTCAAGGCTTGAGGAGCCATAATTTGGTAGCTGCTCAAAAATAGTAGAAGAGGACTACACATTGGGGGGAAAATGGCAGAAAAGCGAAGTTAAATGGCCGAAAACCCATGAAAACTGTGTTTGTTCCACGAGGAAATGGACGGGCATTTTCGGACGAGCTTCCCGTTGAAATCTTGCCAACAACTAGCTTGACAGATGTGACTGCACGAATGTATTATATATCGGTTGTACTTCATAAATGAAGCGATAATAGTACCAGCGTCGATGTGACTGTGCGGCCTTGTGGGCGGGCGATTGCGATGGGCATCTGGGTCGGCGTGTTGCACCTTGGTTAGGCGCTATACGGTGCCTTTGGTTGATATAGGCGCCAAGCAGCACGAGAGGCACAATTATCCTTCGTGCTCGGAGTATAGACCATACGCCTTGTCGATTTTTCGTGCCACTTGCCTTTCAATTTAGGCGAATGTCCTTATGTCCATTGCGAGAATGCTTGTTTTCCACGAAGAGCCCTTTGAGCTCATTGCTGAGGCCCAATTCTAGAACCGAGCACCATTTCGGCACTAGTAACTCTGGACGGGGCAGTTAGAGGACTTTTTGTCCCAAGATTAGGATGGGAAAGAAGGTGAGGATATTCATCCAAGCCCAAAGGAGCAAGGCGGTCTGGAGCTGGTAGACCAATAGATCTGTTCGGATGACGTCAATCATCACAGTGTGGCACGAGGAACTTTCCAAATGTCTGTGGACTATGAGTGCCATGTATTGCCATCACCTACCTTCTCGACACTTGTCCCCTCCACCTCCACTCAACCTTATAAACAAACGATACCAAAAGCGACAACGCACCGATAGTTCCATATAAGAAAGTGGCAAGCGCCAGCAATACGATTACTCCACCGCAACCTACGAGAGTTGCTAAGTAGGTGAGTCGTTCTCGGTTACTGTAACATGGCTTATACTTGCATGTCGTGGCAGGGGTTCTGAAAATAGAATTTTAACGTGCATATTCAATTTCTATCAGGAAGTCAGTTAGTTGGATTCAGGCAGTACAGTGGGATGTTAGGGACCCATCACTAACTGAACCGCCGGAAACTCGCACTACCCCGAGCCTCCATAAACTCTGAGCAGGCTCATAGCAAATGGAGGCTAGATGAGATAGAAATTCACAACCTGAAAACTGCCCAAAACTGAGAACCAAGTCCACCCTTTTTATGTGGGCGGAGTCGGGCGGTACATCACCTTCCTTGTGGATACACTACTTCTTTCCAAGACGGTGATATAGGTGCTGTAAATGTGAAAGACACGGTGATGAGCCTGACTACCCCTATAGAGTTGTTGGGGAAACATCATCCCCCCCCCCTCCCTCAATCTGGGGACGAGCGTTCTGTAGCAGAAAGCTCGGATTACCGAGCTCACAAAAAACCTTAGGGGTAGGCCTAACCCAGTGATTACCCTCGGATTCCTCACACAAACAATGGGTGCGAATGCTTAGCCCAAGCTTACAGGGTATAACATTTGGCAGGACTGTTCTCCTAAGCTTACAGGGTATAAACATTTGGCAGGACTGTTCTCCTCGTAGAGGTTTCCTCCACACTATCTGTGCGTACTGATTCCTTCCTCGTTCAATGAGAAGCATTACTTTTCCGATGTGAAGTTGTTGAGATTGATCGCAGCGAACACCACAGAAACCACAGCAGTACAGAACGCCACAAGCATAGCGAAGTGGTACAGGAAGCTCTGGAGCATTTACCAAATAAATTATTGATAAAATAATCAACACGAATAACAAAAAAATGGATTCGCATGGAAAAATCTAGTTTGGCAGTTTTGCGACTGAGGGGGGGGGCATTTTGCACTTTTGCAACTTCCATCTACAGAGAGCTATTCCATGAGCTTACAAGAGTTGACAGGTTTTTCATGGTGGCTCGACGAGCTTGCTCCAGCTTCACAAGAGTTCACAGGTTTCACCAGAGTGAGACTTGTAAACCGGAACTAGTGAAGCAACGAAAGTGCAGAATGTTTCCTCCTCTCCCTCCCCAAACTGCTCCAAAAAGCTTACCATAGCCCGAGCTTTCTTGTAGGACCCGTGATGATTGCTGTGCAGCAGCATTTGTGAAATCAGTACGACGCCAGCGGTGGCCAGTGCAGCATAGAAAGCGATCTTGAACAATGTTGGTGTAGAAGGTGTCTCCAAAAACCGTCACCAATCTATTGTGATTACCTCTTCTGTGCTGGTTTTAGCCATCCCTTTACCTCGTCCCGTGACATTCCACAAGGCCACCATAGCCATCACTAGAGCTGGATATCGGGCCATTAGGAAGATGAAACGCTGATAGCCGAGGAACGAGTTGCGGGAAAGGGCTCGAGCCCGAATTGTTGCTCGGCTGTAATGAAGGATTTGTTAAAGCAGTGACTCAGGTAGGAGACTGAGAAGATTCTTTCCCCAGGAAAACTTCATTGTTCTCTGTGAAACTTTTGAAATATTGCCAAGAAATGGTCATAAAGATGATTAGTCCAGAACTTGGAGATTCTGAAGGGTTTCTTTCCTAAGTTGAGCAATGTTTGACTGAAAGAACTTACTCGGCTGACTGGTAGGAGCTCTGTACCGCATCAGTCACCGTTGCTGTTGTTCCTGTCACGGCTGGCACGGGAGAGTTTGCTTGCTGAGGAGAAGTCGTTATTCTGGGAATCGGAGGAGTTGTCCGTATTGGCGGGTCAGAAAAATAAGGGTCAGGTTGAATTGGTTGCCAAACTTCAGTCAGTGGCACTCGGTCAGTGACCAAACGTCCAGAATACGTCACGTTCACGGGTGCCCTGAAATTCGAGAGGATTCGTTTCTCGCTAATAATGGTCGAATTGTATAGAGGCCGCTGTTTGACTTGGGAGGGGCGATTTGCACTTTCGTTAGTTCGTTTTGCTAGTTCACGGGAACCAGCGGGTGAACTCTTAAGGAAATACGAAACGGTAAAGAGGAGCCACTTTGGTTATAAGGAATTGTAGGTCTTCATAAGGTGCCCGAACAAGCTCTGTACAGCACCATTCGCTGCCCCCATCAAACCGAACTGCGTCCAGTGTACATATTTAACCTAAGTGGTTCGACTCCGAAGTAACTAGTTTGGTAGAATACGCTGATTTATGGGTCATAAGCAAAGGCATGGGCGCAGTTACAGTCTATATCTGAGGCTCGCAAGAGGCGTGGCCATGAGAGCGGTAGAGGGCTCGGACAAAAGAGAACCCGAGTGTGTGCATAATAGACGAGAAATAGAGCCGGAAGGGGTTGGAAATGGACAGCCGTCTACGGGACCCTTTTCGCTCTCCGATATAGGGAAACTCATTGGCGCGCTCTCACATTCACAGTTTTTGATATAAGGAGAGGCCACAATGGTTTAGTGACTCCGCCCATACGGTTACTGTAGATTGGACCATTAAGCTACGGTAGAGGAAGGGATGCAGTTACTGGACCGTCAGTCTATGAAACCGCTAGGGGAACGAATATCTTCTGAACCTTAACTAGGCGGAGATGATCACTTGGTATAGGGGCCATTCAAGAGGGCTATGACATCCACTTGCCATCATTCGCATGTCAAGCTCTAGCAGGCCGTCAAATTTCACCAAGACCTCAAATTTACCTTTACGGATTCATTCGGAACCAGTGACTAAGTTGGCAAGTCAAGTGAATGGCGCTCTTCAGAGGGAAGCGAACG